TACTGGATTAGCTATGATTTGAGTCAATCTGACAGCTATTAAATGTGCCAAATCAAAGAAAAATTAATCAAGTGGTAACCTTATTTATTTACAAATGTCACCATATCCTCCTGAGCTTTGCTGGACATCTAGGTATAATCGATATGTTATAACCTTTTATTAACAGTGAGGTTTTCCATTGTCATGCAACAGTTCAAAAGTTACTACTCAGTCGGATACATACACAGAAGACCTTGTTACTTAATATGTTCATGACCTTTTAGAAGGTTAGGTGCTTAGGTATAATCACTTTTATATAACATGGCATTTTAAGCACTTTATAATTTGCTAAGCAACCATTCTGAATAGATGAAACATGCACACACTTAAGTCAGTTACCTAGTGGGAATAAATTTAATTAAGCCAAGACCCTATCTTACTGAACTGTAATTTGTTCCTTGACCATAAACTATCCCTAGGCCTGAGAAGCATTCTCACAAATGTGTGCCATTAAGCTTGAGGGAAACCAGGAAAGAAAATATGGATAGCTCAGCCAAAATCAACAACTGTTGTGTATCTGCTACCTGCAGGGTACCATAATTACTGTCACTGAACTTTCTAAATATTGTTGGTCAAAAGTATTATATTTGAATATGAAAGTTTATATAATGTATAAGCTAGCAAGAAAAATACACTTCTTACTCCTAGAATCTCATAGACCACAAATAAGAAACAAAAGCCCACGTTGGAACCAGGACAAGAACTTCCAAGGCAGTAGCGAGGTGAGGTCCATGGTTTCTCTTTAGAAATTCCTTTCTACAGATTTTCTGAAAAATGAGCACTAATTCACATCTGGCTACTCACCTAAACATTGTTGCTTTGCCTTGGGTTTACTGGAGCAATTCTCATCAAAGTTTTCTCACCTACAATTAGAGACAAGGGGTTGAACTTGTGGGCCATTATTATAGCCAAATAGTAATTTGATTAAATGTACTTCATTGATGCATGTTCAAAAACCTTTAATAATTTTTTATAATTTTAGGAGAAATATCACATTTTATATATCTCGGAACAGCTATTCTTCAGCACAGTCTGTATTCTTGCCCTGTTTATATGGGAAGAACTGAAGTTATTATCCAAGATTGACATTTGAGACAGCTTTCATTCATCAGGCAGATGAGTAGATATGGGGTGCGGCTATATCTCAAGTATCCTATTAACTCAATATTGTCACAGAGAAAATCTCCATGCATTAGTGCTACTATTATTCTGGTACGAGGCATTCATGAATCCTTGGGAAGCTCCCTATCTTGGCTTTCTCAGGGCAACAAAAACATGACTTTGAGCCAAAACACATCCATAAGTACTTCCAATAAAATTAAGAAGCTCTAAGGAGCTGTGATTTAGTAATGGAAAACATTGCTAACTGCAACAACGACAGTTTATGGTTAGGAAATTTCAACTCAGTTTTGAGTACTAGTTCTGTCACAGACTTAACAATAGATGAGAATCTGACTTCCATCAGTCCTCTCCTCTCCACATGTTTGAACCCGCCTGGGTTTTGGATCCTAAAAGGGCTGTTGTGTTCCTTGTCTGATAATTTTCATAAACATATTAATTCTTAAAATGAGATATAATTCTGAATAAAGACTTGCTTAATTTTGTTCTTCATTTCCTCAGAAGGGCCTGTCACTGAGGAGCTGATGGCCAAGATCCTGATGTCTAGGTAGAATTCAAATACCAACCTCCACCTCTACAAGGGGTTCAGTTTAGTTGCTGCAATTAGACTGACCTCTTCTCTTCCTCTTATGTAGGAAGAAGGTACAAGGGATCACCTTAATATTATTGAGGAAGTGCTGCCTATATATACTCTTGTTGACTTTCTTAACCATTCTTCATCGGCTGCTTTAAGAGGGAAACCTCTTTAAACCTCTTTAAGAGGGAAACCAGTAAGAAAATTATTCCAGAATCAGCTAGCATTTGAAGTCAGTTCTAATCAGGTAGAGATGACTTATTTCAATTCAACAAGTATTTATTGAGCAGCTATAGAGTGTTTAATGAGTATTGTGCTAGATACGATTGGATA